GCTCTGCTGATTAGGTTACATGGTTTCCCTGCATTGTGATGGACTATGGTCCAGCCTCACTGTTGTTTCCAGAAAAGGCTATGGGTTGCTGTCAACACTACCGGAAATGTGGTCGTGAAATAAATATGGGAAAGAACACGTCACAGTTTCACATTTAGGCTTATGAGTTAAAAGGGAAGCAAGAACGAGTGGCATTAATGGTAAAATGAAATGTAACGTTTCATAACTTGGTCAATAATAGAAGTTTAAAGCAGATTTCAACATGCCCATTGGTAACAAATATTAAGTGCAGCATCCTAAGTAACAAACTTTTCTCTACAGAATACAATGTAACTCAAATGAATAAATTTCCTTCTAAAACACACTAATGAAGTAGGGCTACCAGAACAGTGCACATGTCTAAGCTAAATCTTATTTATATGGAAAATAATACAGAAATCTTTCTCTTCTCAAGACGCTGATTTTTTCATTAAGAGAAAGTAACAAGGTTAGAATGTGGTTGATATTTGACTATCAGTTCTTTTGTAACCTAACAGGGTAGTATCTATTAAGTACTGGGCTCAAGGCAGAAGTGAAGAGTTATGTTAACACCTTCTGCTGGGAATGGAAATAGCACTCTTCTTGGAGACCTTGTCCGATTATCACTCTCTGCTCTGAAACCAAGCTGTTTATAATGAGACAACCTGACGAGTAACTGTCACAGCCACAGGAGGCCTGCAGGTTGAAAATGAGATCAGCTACAGTGTTGAAGCATCATACAGCTCCTGTCAAAGAATCTCTATAAAATACAGCTGTTGACTAGGTCACACAAGGTTGTGTACTGCAAAACTTGCTCTGGGGAACTTTAGAGTGATATACCGTGATGCATGCACAACCCAGTGTAACACACAGCTAATGTTTTTTTTTAATTCTAACACATTTTACAAGAGGAGGATTTATTTTTAATTGCACTGTTCACAAAGATAGCAACTTAGGACAACTGTCACCCATACAAAAAATCAGGGAGTCCTCTCAGACTCAGATGCAATCTTCAATCTGAAGAAAACTTTTTTCAAAAGGATTTTTCAAGACGAACATCATTTTCGAACTTTCCATACTTTGCCCTAGAATTCCTATGACAATCTCTGTTGAGCAACTACGCAGTGGAAAGATGAATATATTATGCCCAGTGTATTAAGAAACAAATACAGCACACACAAAGGAATAAATAACCGAATTCAGCAGTTGCATATCCAGACTTAGCAACATAAACGCTGTTCTCAAGTTGAAACTATTTTTATTGCCAAGCACAATAAGTGTTCCCCCTTAAAAAGAAATATTGCAAAGGCAGCATATGCCTGGAAAGACATTTCTAACTCATGTGAACTGATACGGGGGCACATTTTCACAGGGATGTGAGATTTTGGACCAAGTAATGTACTGTAGTCATGTTATGGGAGGTGATAGCCCTCTTTCAAGAAACAATTGGGTGACACTTCCAGGTCAACTGACAACTAAACATCAGAGGAGCTACAGCAGACAGGCTGAATGGCCTCTCATTTAGAAACATCCTTATTTTCTGAAAGAAGCTTTCAAACTAATGCATAATTCTCATTATACAGGTATTTATATTTCACCATGTTCAATTTGCACACAACGTGCATAATAATGAAGGCTGAGGCACACACAATCTTTCAACAACTCTAGTTAGAGCGCAGGAGAAAAAGAGGACAGATCCTGAGAAATGCAGGAATGATGCTGTAAGCTGTAGGCACACAAGATTTAAGATGACTCTAATTGAGTCATCACACGTGCATTCACCACCATGAAAAGGAAGCCAACAATGTAACACATTAAGCCAACCAGACAAGTCTTTGTCAATGTGCGCTTCCAACTGATCCATTAACTTTTCCTTCCAAAATACCATTTTTAGAATGAGGTGACGAGTTTCTATCTACATTTTTGCCATTTTTTAAAGCATTTATCCTGGTCTCCGTAGAAGCTAAAAACCATCATGAGACAAACAACTCTGGCCAGACACATTGCTGGAATGTGCAGAATCTGACAGAGCGCATTTTCTGGCCACAAACCAACGTGCCTTATGCACAGCTTCTGATTTCCAATACTTTTCCTTGACTTTTATGGCTTTCATTTTAGAGTTCTGTTGATATCCATTTATGACATTTTACAACTGAGAATATGCAAGTATGGAATTTGGTTTAATTAGTTGGTGTGTGTGTGTATATTAACCAAATAGCCCTGTCAAAATGGGAAAGTCTTAATGTTCAACCTCAAAATACAATCTACAGTATCTGTGATACTGCAAATCCATAAATGGCATCAATGTCACTGGTATCAAGTTTCACAGTTGCAACTCCATTTGAGAGCTGGAACATTAGAGGGAATGGCTTAAAACACAACTTCACACGACATCTCACAGTCTTGCATGACCACATTTACTCTTTCTCTCTTTTCAGGCCAAAACACTCACCTTAAGATTGGAGAGAAATATTAATTCACTGCGGCAACACCACTCACGACTGTCAGGTAGCAAATTTCAGCATAAATTGCATTTGCCCCCAATACCTTTATATCACATACTGCACCATACAAAACATTACCGGAAAAAGAGCACAGGTTGTCAGATAAACTTAGGTGTCTAAAGCAAAGGATATAAACATTATTCTAGTAAATAAGTAAAAAATACATTTGCAAGTCTGTGCAGCAAACATAAGAATACAATGAGCAGGAAAGCACGAAATGGAAAGGAGTTTCCACTGCTTTCATGAAAGTAAAAAAAAAATCCAGTACCCTACATAGACATCAGAAAACAGAAAATGTCCTTAATGAGCATGTTTCACAGGTGTTTATTAATTTGTCCCAGACTAAAGAGAGTCACGGAGTGGATGAAGCAAAACACACCCAGGCTGTCTACACATGCTTCCTGTGCTCATCTGGTATTGCTCACTGTTTACCGGATATTTCTGATGTAATTTAATGTAACGTTTAAGTAATAGTTGCAGTTGCTTTGTATCATTAATTTGCTCTGCCAGGTACTACATCTACACAATCTGCTGGCAATATACAGTAGCTAACAGACTACCTGCGCCGATTCTTACCTACCTAAATATATTGAATAAAACTGGGACTAGGCTCACTAATGTATTCAAAAGAAACCTTTAAAAGGGCAGCCAACAGCCTAACAGCTACTTGAAAAAAAAAACTTTAAAATGTTCAGCACAGATTTGGACAAAATGGAGTGTGTGGCAAATGAAGAATCATTAGTCTTTAATCTGTTACAGAACAGCACATGAGAGCTAAATTAAACAGATCTAGGCAGGAAATATGCAGACTGTTTTGGTACAACAAAAATATAATGATTATCTGTATGGGGAAAAAGCTTTTTAATTAAATTAAATTGTTTTAATATTATGAGACTTAACATTTCACTGTGCAACAGCTGTGCTGAATAATATGAGAATCGTAAATTCTGCTAAACAACTGGGATAATACACTGCAGCACAGTCACAAGCCACCAACAAGTGGAGTTATACTACTGGCTGAGGAAAATGAGAGACTCTTTGCCTTTTCAGATAAAAATAGTAATTCTCCCTTTTCTTGAGGATGGTGGTTCGTGAGCAACATATTATGATTGAATTCCCAGATTTTTAAAAAATGTTACACTGATGACAGAGTCCATTTACTGAGCTTTAACACTCTAATAATCAAGCAGGTCATGAATGACGACAATACTGACAAAACTGGAAAGAGTAAGACTTTCTGTAAAGAGTAAAACATTCTGTGCTCCATCAAACATGTACAACTTAATGTGGATAAAGTTATTTTTCCTATATTTGTGCAAACTGAAGTCCATAAAACAATAATCCTGTGCTACTTATAGAACATTAGCGTAATGTCTGTCAAACATCAGTACATTTCCTTTTTATAAAACGAGATAACAGAAACAGCATGAAGCTGGCAAATCTTAAAACTATTGCTTGAAACACTGAAAAGTCTTACCAACAAAGATGGGTAAATTAGACCACATCTTTAGAAACCCATAAAGCCGACATCAGAGTTTCTAGAACACTTCAGAAGTAAAATTGACAGTTTTTAAAATATCCTAAAGCACATCATTCCACTTACATTTATACCACAAAAAAAGAAAACCCAATCAATACACATTACCAGGTTAAAAGAAGCTAGGAAAAAATCTTTTTGTTTAGCTCGGCACATCCCAATAATATTGACATTAAAATCTTTTATGTGATAGAGCAGACTTGAAGAAACCCATTCATAATATTGATGCAGAGTCTTTTTTGAAAGACCGGTAGCACTTTGTGCCCTGAGCTTTAATCTCCTGGGTGCTTGATGGAACTTAAGTAACGTCTCACAGCTCTGTGTGCCAAAAAGGTAACAACAGTTTGCAAGAGCTATAAAAGGTTTTTTTTGTGTGTGAACTTGAGGAGGTCAACATAAAATGAGAGCAAAAACTACGTGTTCACATACAGGTAGCCCTCCATCAAAGTGTAATTAGATTAAAAGAATTGTGAGAACAAAAATGCAAAGCAAATATTAACAATACATTATATTGATCCAGCACACCTCAAAATACAGAAAAAGCATTAATGTAACACACGTACTCTCTTACAAAGCTAATACACATTTTCCCAATATTGCTTTAGCAACCCTGAAGTATCACAAAACAATGTGACAATAAACAGACCACATACATTATAAATAATTTCTCAGTCATTCAATAGAACTGGTGTCTAACTGAAAACTCCACAATTAGGATGAAAACTAACAATACAGAGGACTGGATAGACCATAGCTGTGTTTTAGACTACGCATGTGCCATCTATTTGAGTATCATGGTTTACATAAACTGATAGGTTTCATAATATTACAAGTCTAATCCGGTCTCTTCTCTTTAGGCAGACAGTTTTGGAATACAGCGTGGCACCCTTCTAAATTATCTAGGAGAATACTGGAAATAATCAAGCATCATTTTTTGAAAAGCAGCTAAAGAAACAAAATATCAATTGAAAGAGTAACACGGCCCTGTGTTTGTTCCTTCAGTATCTAAAAGGTATTGGAGAGGTAGACTAGTTTGATGCTCACTACAAGTTTCAGAAATGTCCTTTCCTTCTGTACAATTTCATATCAAGATGGAAAAAGAGACTCTCATAAGGCATCCGTTCCAAAGACTGTACTCATCCAAGCCACCACCAGCTTGTAGTGTAATAGATGAACACTAGCTCTTTAAGACAAACAGTATTATTTTAAGTATATTGACTACAAACTCTTTTAGAACAAGCACAGCATGCCTGATTTTGGTGAAAAGACTTTCATCCTGGCTGGTGATTATATATACACAAAATGGTTCGTTTAAAATTGGCACCCTGCTGATTTTTTTCCTTTCCATTTCTATAGAAGTTTCAGCTGTGAGATACATTGCTGCATTAAAGCTTAGAATGCATGGACTTTTTACACCAAGGCAAGATTTCCATACATAAAGGATGCACATAACATTAGTACAAATTTAACACAGATGAACCTTCAATTAGGAGATTTTTCTTTAGCACAAGTATAGTATATGTGCTCTAGAGCAAAAGGTCAACAGTTCATATCCTCTATTACCACTATGACTATTGCAACATTGGGCACCATTTTTTAAGAATATCTCATACAAAGAGCGATGGTAAAGTTCAGAGAATGAAAGCTCTACTTACAGTGCTTAGTTTGCTACAGCAGATGATGATTCGGCGTTCATAAAGCATACTAGCATACAGGTGAAGCATGTTATTGACATCTACTGCTACAAAATATTCAGTTAAGTTTCTCTGTAAAAAGAAGAAAAAAATGAAATTAGTTGGGAATGGTACTGGAGAACAAGAGTTCAGGTAAAATGTGCCCATTTAGACAAAGGAGACAAATGTAAAAACTTTCAGCAGTCCCTCCTTTGTTGACCTTTCTATTGTAGGTAAGACAACCCCCACTCTATCTGAGGGTGCCCACAGAAAAAACTCTTAGTGTTTTCCAAAATATTTTCAAATTTATTCTCAAAACTGCATGTGAAGAGTTATTTAAGGAGATGCTAATAAGCATGCCACAATTCTTACACAACGTAAGTTCAGAATAGGTTACAGGAAATAGGAGAATACGAAATAATTGAAGTCTGAATTAACCTTGGCTCATGGCTTCCCTCCTCAGTACAGAATAGAGCTGGCCATCTCTCCATGAGGAGCACCGACTCTGGCCACTGTGCAGAGTAATTGCCCCATTAAGCTGAACTCATGCAACTGTCACCCCGATGAATACTGGGCCGTTTTAACCATTGGCGAAGGTAGCCCGAGGGTAGGGCTGACCAATCCTAGAGCTGGAGGGACAGTATGTCTCTTCACAGCAACAGTAACTAAAGAGCTTGAACACCTAAACTGTTCCAATGAATCCAATGATGAGCTGATGTTGGTTGTTAAGTACTGTACTGTTTTCACTAGTACAATAGAATCATTATCACATACAGTGCAAGGGAGTTCCAAATAATACATATGAACAACTTATATTTTGCTTCTTGGTTTATTCACATAATGTATTCCTATACTAATTCAAGTTCCCAAGAAGGTTGTTGCAGGTGTAGTGATATCTGAAAGAGAATCATCCTAGATGCCTTAATGGAGCAAATTTCGTCAGAAGAAAAGAGACAGGACCAATTAACCAATTAACATCAGTCAAAGTCTAATGAATACAAAATCAAAATGTCATTTTAAAAATGTAACTTAGCACAAGAAACCACATCTTTCCAGTTCCAGCAACGTGACAGGTATCATTGTGGTAGTTCCGTGAAAGCACAATTCATTTTCAGATTGTCATCCTGGATTCTGCAGTCAGCAAACTGGTGGAGGATTCCAGAGGGTCAAGCTTCGTTATCAGCGGACAGCCTAGGTCCAGGCCAAAAAGCACCAAATATTCTTATTTTGGCCTTTTAAACAGTAAAACAGATTCCTAAATACTTCTTTCAATTGCCCTCCCATCTTTTGGGAAGAAAGTCCAGGAAAGCCAGAATTAGAGCACGAGATGAACATGTGGAGTCTTGCACACAGGAAACCTACCACAAGGTCATCTAGGGGAACTCTGCAAATAACTCAGGGGTTCGGCCTCAAAAAGAGAGAAACTGAAAATCTGGCACAGAGAACGCAGAGAGTGAAAGCTTGGCATTGCCAGGCTCAACAATACTGGGTGTCTTGCAGAGCAAAGAAGTCACTCTTGAGGCAAGGGCAATGAGCACAGACAGCATGCCTCCCATCTGCAGGCAAATTGATTCCACAGTTCGTGTGCTTTCAAGAGGCTGGAAATGAATTTAAAAGTAGTTAAGGGCAATGCAGGTAGCCGCTGTAATCACAGGGGAAAGCTCTTGGCACTTCCTGAGACAGCTTCACTACCAGTGACTCCCCAAAGAGAAGAAACGGTCATGTTTTCGTTTGTAGCCCAGGTCTGGAAGCTGCATATTGCAAGGCCTCCTAGGTCTCAGTATAGAAGAAACCTGAGGGAGGAATCATTAAGCAGACCCACACATTTCCAAAGCACCCACCCTTTCGCTCCAAGAGACCGGGAGGAAATGGCCCAGAGTTTCATCTGGAGTACTGCAAGTGCTTCAAAAGCGGGGGCAGGCTTAAATTCCTCTCCCAACAGAAACTACAGACGCAATACAGCTGAAACCGAGAAACCGTATGACGGCTGGAACACAGGCCAAATGGTGTCTGCAGGAAAATCCCTGGAGCAAAACAACAAGGACGACTTGAAAGGGTCTCCGAGTTAAACTTAATGTTCTGAAAAAGGTTACTCAACTCAGCAGCCTAAGCCTCTAAAGCCATGGAAAATACAACTACAGCTGCAGCAGAGAGAGAGAGAGAAACTCACAGACTTCCAAATACACAATCCAAATGCTGGAAGAAAATGAGCTTAAAACCTCAAAAACGATAACAATTATCGGCAATAGTATTTACAGTTACATGAACCATGCAGTTCATAAGAACTGGGAAAGCGGGGTATTGGGTATCACGGACCAAAAAGGAGAAGCGATCCTGTGAACAGCAGACGAAGTCCTGTGACACAGTTATTACCCGGCTGCAAAGGCAGCAGTGTCAGTGGGGAAGGGGAACACAGTTGGACTGTGCTGTCATTCCCAGTGCCAATTTTCTGTAAGGAGGGGAGAAGCCACTGATAACAGACTGGTGGTTCCGCTAGGGGCACCCAGGACAGCTTTAAATAGGATAACATGAGATACTGTATAAGAGAAAACATATGAACAAGGGCAACTCCAACTCAGTTAGTGCTCATTTAGAAAAAAAAGGAATTCCAGGTCAATCACTTATAGATACAGTATGTTGAAACTCTCTTTCGTATCATTGAGTCGAAATGCATGAATGCACTAAATCACAGAGGAAGAAAACATTATTGGCACTGCATTAATATACTATAACATACAAACATAAATATTTTATATATTAAACATTTGTCAACAAACATTTTATTTCAAACACTATTTGGAATACTGAGGTTTTCAGATATTTCAAATGAGATGACATTCTCCTGTGGAGCAAATACAGTTCTCAAGTGAACAGGGCTTCTATCTGCACCATGCGACAATAACATGAGTGTTTTATTAATGTAGAATCAGAAGATACAAATTTGTAAGACAAATCTGAAGATTAATGCATTTTAGGAACACGTTCAGAACTTGAGAGGAAAGGTTATCATTTTATTATTTACATGGCAGAGAATGGAATGGATTTTGCCTAATTAAATAAACAAGAGCAGACTGTAGAGGGTTCAATTTAAGCAGAAAAAATATTTTATGTTGTCCTTAGCTCGTGCATCGAAAGTGAAAAAATACATTTTGACACACTCTCAAGCACTTTAAAAATAGCATCGAAATGAAAGAATTTTCAAAACCTAAGAAACTACGCCAGCAATTACCTCATTATCCACAGGCATATATCATTCAATAATTAAGCAAAAAAGTTCTTCATGTCCAAAGACACTGAGCATACAGTATATACAAGCCCCAAATGTTGGGAAAAAGCACTGATCTTCTATGACATTTATAAACAAAAAAACATCTGAGAATATATGAACATTTTCAATGCCTCTCAATATGAAAATAGAGAGAAATCAGCATTATAGTTCCATTTTCAAATGTGAACTGCAACAAAACCTCAATTCTTAAATTGTAGAAATATGTCTGACACTCAGAAAGAAACCATGTTTGTAAGCATGCATTTTTAAAGTTATTTGCTATCACAATACACATAAGTGAAAGTGCAAAGAATAATTCTCCCTGGACACATCTGAGTTTCTATCACATGTGGGATCCACATCAAATGTAGTCTTAAGGGCAAAAAGAAATGTGTTTCTCTATATATGACAGCTGCTGATTTTCCTGCGGTCACAGGGGACGGTAAATCAGAAGATTCTATTGATTTATCTGACTTTTTAGATTTATACATGTTAGAGCAAGAGAAGGAAAGCAAAATTATGAAAGCTGACTGCTTTCTTTTAAGAAAACACAAGCTGGCGTAGATAGATATAGGAGAGTTAACAGGAGAGAACAAGACTGTTAACTGTGATAGAAGTGTAAGGCTTTTCCTGACAAAGTTAATGTTTTTATAACCGCTGTATAACAACTTCCTAGGTAACCACAATAGCATTATGATTGATGGAACAAGTCTCAAGTATTTCGTCTGGATATAATCCTGTACAACACTACATAAGATGTCAATGTTGTGTTTCAATGACTTAGAAATATACTTACATTTTCTGGGATACTGGGGAGTTCTCTAATATCAGGCACAGTAAAGTAGGAATGCTGCGAAGGAAAAAAATAAGATCATGAATCCTCTCAAAAACAGAACATTTAAGCAAACAAATACAAGCACACCTACATGATGCTTTGCTATTCATTACTGGGAAAATCTCCATTCACTCCCGGTGCAACTCCCTTAAAAGCTACACAATTGTGCATTAAAAAAAAACTGCTACTGAGACACACAGTTCATCTGATTCATCCATGGTTAGACAAATGGCAGTTATCGGGTTATTTCAGTTGCTGAATGACACATTTCCTCAATTTAAATCATTTAAGACTGCCTTGTCTATTCAGAATATATTTAGAGAATTTGTCACATGAGTGCACGCCTGGCTGGTTACCTGATTTTTCTGTGCTGAAGGCTGATTGAATCCATCAGCAGAGAGGAATGCAGTTTTGTATAGCACAATGTACAAACAACCTGTCCATAACCCATTTCACCAAGTAATGCAGCCAGTATATAAGAAGCAAGGAAAAGAATAAAATGCATTGATAATTGGTAGATTCAAGGTATTCTATAATAACGTAGCTTGTTTGCTTTGTTAGGATGATGGTCAAATGTACAGTAGCACTTGGGTGAGGGTCTTATTAGTCAACACTAGCTAAAGAAACATATTGTTGGTAATTATTGTGATATTATTGTGAAATTATTGATCTTCACAAATAATTAGAAATTGTAAAAACATTTCAAAAGGTAAAAAAAAAACAGAAAAGTTCAGAATGAAGGCAACAGACATCAAAGAAGTGAAATCAACAAAAAATGCACATTTACAATAGCAAGCTCTGTGTAGACTGTAGTTGGTGTTAATTAAACAAGACTTTCAGTTTGTATCTTGACTTTCTACTGGTATGGAAATGAACTGCTCCTACGTAATCTCTTACAAAACAGCAATTTTTAAAGATGCATGCTGATTTTGTATCTTCAAAAGACTCACCTTTAGCTGGGCCACCACTGTAAGATTTTGCTCATAAATCACTTTTGTGATCTCTTTTAAAAAGTAAAGACAACTACAAAAACGACGCACAACTGCGGAAATAATAAGCTTCGAGAAAATCTTTGAGAAGATATCGCACAATTACTTTCCTATCTGAGTACTTGTTCCACTTCTACTCTGGATCCTTTAGATGTCCTTTAATAATTTAAGAATTAATTATTTAATATATCTTTTCAGGGAAATAACGAGTTCCTGATTTGTCAAGAGAGAGGAAAGCATGTCGCATTTGATACTGTGATTTTTGTAAGGAGACAAAGGAAAATAAAACATAGGAGACCCTTTATTATTCTAATATAATGAACTTACATCTCACTGTCATGAAAGGCAATGATAGACTCCTGAGTTGTACTACACAACAGAGAGTGAAGGGTGTGGAAATAGAGAGAAACAGCCAACTCGTCTGTCGAGTCAGAACAGATGATATATTTGCATCTTTGACAAGTTTGAATATTTTTTGAAAGGCGGATATAAATTAAAAAGAAGTTTCTGTCTTGTGATCAACATTTAATGTTCTTTCTTCATAATATATTATCTTACCATACAGTGGTATATATAGTGGTATATAGTGGGTATTGCACTCATTTATTTAACTTGCGGTAATGTTGTAGTCATCCAAGTAGCAATTAATTAAATCTATTTTACATTTTACAGTGCAGTTGAAGATGATTGTATTTTAAACATGAAATATAAGATGTTTGGTATTTTGTGAATAATATAAACAAATTATTATTCTGCTGCAATTGCTTACTGTACTGACTTCAGCATCTCTGTATTCACTTTCAGTCCCAGTCACCATAGCTGTTGTTGAAATGCCCTCCAGTATTCAGGACATGTGTTGAAAGTGATGGTCAGTAAAACGTCTCAGTAGTCTCACAGAACTGACATCACAACTTGTCTACCAGTGTGCCAACCTGAAGAACAGTCCATGTGACTGTCACTAGCACCTTTTCTCACCTTTCTTTCCCCACTCACGTCAACATGCAGTACATGGGCACAACAACAGGTACAGCAACGATTGAAATCGCAAAGTGAGAGACTGACTGACAGCCCTCACAACAAACGAAGGAAGTCAGCACTGCTTCACTCAAGACATCTGCCAGAACAACAAGGCCTTCTTTCTGTTGCCAGCCTTAATTCATCACCAAATCCATCAGCTTTGAGGCCTGACTAAACAGCTGGGATCAAAGGTGATCAATTTATGATGGTCAGAAAAACCCTAATAAGAGATTAGCACGGACTACATGAGATTTGGATCTGCACTCCAATCCCATTTCATATTTCTCTTGGGTTTTCCTTCGACTGAGGTTGTGAGACAGGTACTGTAACTGTGCTTAGGCATCAACTCCACCTCTCCACCAGAAGGTCCTACCAGTGAAGGTGACAGATGTCTGTCTCATCGTTCTCCAGCCAGCCCTACAGCTTCCCACTGAGACAGCCTGCTTACCTGACTGGGAGTTTCTAATATTTTGGCCGGTGTGTGCATTTACCAATAAAATCATCACAAATGTTAGCAGAATGCAAGCAATCCAGGAGGTGTGAAAAACGTGATTTTGTCTCATTGATTCTTGAAAGAGCTCCGACTGTCTGTGGGACACGACACAGAAAAGTGAAACTAATGATGGCAACAAACGCAATACACTTTACTTGGACTTACAGACATTTTATTTCATTTCTAAGGATGCAAAGTTTTTTCTAAGGGCAAATGTAGATTTTTCTAGTTAAGGCTCTGTTTGAGTATGAACATGCAAAGTGACATTGAATATTTATTTTCTAATTTTGCATACTTTGGGATGTAATCATTTATTTTCACACTGTAACTCCTGGCAGATAATTCTGTTTTTTATAGATTAATAAAGGAGTGGGGATACACAGTGCCGGACAAACAGATACAGAAACCTATAAGAAGACAGCTCATATAGGTTGATAGAGAGGTGCACACACTCCACTTCCACTGAAGTGGTAAATGGGATAGTTAAACCGCTCAATTGAAACATCCCCAAAGCTACTGCACAGCTCAGTGAAACAAAGCCATCCCTAAGCAGCTCTTTGATATCTTTTCTTGCTTCACTGCCCATGAAATGTTTGAAGTAAGGGCAGACCAGCAGCATTCCTTTAAACCACTGGTACGAAACAGCTGAAATATCCCATCATGCCACAAAAGCCTATAAGACAGATTGCCCTTTGGGGTCAGACAGGCATGCTGTTCTTCCCAAACGTCTACAAAACAGCAATGGGTCATCTCCTGAACCAGCCAATGACCTGGCAAGAGCCAACAACTGCTACCTGTCGATTGGCATTAGAGAACTGAGGGCTGAAATTAAGCTGCTTGCAGTCGGCAGTTTGCACAAAAGAGAGCAGGAAAAGTACCGTTTGGTGCTGCTCAGAGCGCTCATGTGAGGGTGACATGTGACACATGGGGGACTCTAGGAGGCCAGATTTTAAAATTCCATCCATTAAAATCTGTCCATACATTTGAACAGAATCAAAGTCAAACAATCTTAATTTATGAATTTAAACCTTAAAAAAAAAGAACTGAATGCTTCAACGTAACGTTTTATATAATCTTTTAAGTATGAGCTAATAAGCAAATTTACAATCATGCTTGTAAGGGTTTTGTTTGATCGGGAATCATTTGTTGCAATGACAGAATATGAATTAAGTTAATAACCTGCACTTGTATTCTATAGTTCTTTAAAAGACCATTTGACAAATAGCTATTAGCTGTTTGGGCCTGTAAGAATTACTGGCTATGACAGGATGCTGTAATATGGTACAGTGCATTACAAAGTTGTTTTTTTTCACTCTGCTTATAATATCTCATTTTGGGTAATTAAAATGATGTATACATTTTTTTTTGAAGATAGTGGTTCATATGATTTCAGAAGAAATACATTTCAATGTATCAACCACGCAGTGAATTTCAAGCAAAGATTAAACCATGGGAACTAAAAAGCTTTCAAAACAACTTGGGGAATTCTCTCATTCTTTTGAGCCACATTTTGAATGTTGATAAATAACACTTGTGCTAGTGGTCAAAGCTTTTTATGGAAGTCACATCATTTTAAAATAAGTATCCAGGCCTTTTAGACAACATTTATCTTGCCTTTTGAAATCTACACTGAAACCAAAGTTGAGGCAACTGCTCATGAAATAAAGCGATGAATAACCCCCCATGTTTTTAACCATTTGTGACAGCTCTGCCCTCCAGTACATGCAAATCTAATTAACCTAACATTTGTAAAATCCTATTTACTTTGCCTACAATTCAACATAGGGATTGCAAGACGTATCCACAAGACTGCGCCCCAAGACAAGGGAGAGAAACTCACCACACTGAGGTGAACAGGCACTCCAGGCTCTGGGACAGGAAGTGAATGAAGTGTCTCCAGAAGCTCCTTCCAGTGATTATCCTAAAACATCCAGGGCACAAAAAAAAATCACATTTACCTTTAGAAAAACGTATAGCTGCACAGAAATGCAATGAACTGCAACAGCTGCAATGTTATCTTGAAGCTGAATTTCTCTGAAGTACATGATCCCAAAGTAAACGTCCAATGAAGCACGTGTCCCAGAGTCATGTTTTTTCCGAAGATTAAAACCATAAAAGGCTATATCTCACACGATTCCTCAGTGTAATTTACTGTACAGGTGGCTTCAAAGCAAAATGTGCCTTCATACAAAACAGTTATATAGAGGACTGATTCAAAATAATGTTGTAATCATGTTATTTTCTAAGGATAAGTGTATGTACACAGATGTACCGTAAAATAAAAAGAACATACCCAGTTGCCTTCCTTAAAATTTATATTTGACGGAGAATCTTTCATGTGAACTTGCTGTTATAATTAAAATTGCACTAACACAGTGAGTGAAAATTGAGCTGGTCATGAGTTGTAATGCAGGATGTTATATATCCTTAGAAATTTAGTTTTCTGTGGGAGGACAAAGCAATAAGACAATTCCAGAGGCTAATGTTCCTTTGCGATGATTCACAGGCTTACAACATTCTTCTGAAGATGTATCAACATAGTGTACAGTACGGTAACATACACATATTCAAAATTCTAATGGCATGTAGAGGAAATGTTGATTTTTTTCATTCATTCATTTTTAAGGTCTAATTAATCTGTTGTGAAAAAAAATGTGTGTAGAAAAATGACAGAATTATAAAAGATAAGAAAAAAATAACGAATGATTGCAGTGCATATTTGCCAAGCTTCACCTCAAACAAATGTTGAATTTCATCAGTAATGAAGAAGTAAAGGACAAGAGAATACGTTTAGGTTTAGAAAACATACTACATACAGTACTGTACATTTATGCTCTACTGTGCTTGAAGTGCTTGAAGAAATGTTTGATACTTTTTGATGCACTCCCAAGTGTCCTTTAAATGAAACAGCCTTCTGAACAACTTGAACGGTATACTTTGTCATCTACTGCCTCTTCTGTCAGTATCACTGCACCAGTTGCATTAAATATTAATGCTTAAATGGATTACCATCCCTTGAGAGATTTTCCAGGACCTTGTGGGGTCAATCAACGCTGTGTTGAGGTTTGATTAGGACAAGTTAATTTATCAAGTTGGATAAGCCCGGTGTTAGGTATGAATCCAAAAATGGAAAGGAGTTTACATTATTGTTAACAGGCAAACACTGTTTTCCTCCATGAATAATAGTGAAAGTACAAGGAATGATGAGTAACAAAGGCAAAAATCTTGAGCAATACCAGAGCACTGTCTGAAGCTCACTAATATTAACAAAAGCATGAATTGTTACTGATTTAGCTAAACACTAGAGTCTGTCAATGGAACAGAAGTAGCTGATGTAAATTTTATGGATACCCAAACAAATGATAGGAAACAATTTCTCCATGGAACCACTTTTACACAGAAGGACTGTTGCAATTCAGCAAAGCTATACACAGATGCAGTATTACTTAATCTCACTGAAATATATGGCAGTCAGTGAGAACAAACTAATCAAAGGCTGATCTATAGGTGTTACAATATTAATTGCATCAACACACTTATTCAATATTTATCTTAATACTTACTGTGTTGGCACACCTATTGTAGGTGTGCACATGCAGAGCTAATACCTTTCACCTTTTTGCTCAGCAGAGTGAATCCTAGTCTTTCAGGCGTTTGTCCCGTATCAGGTTTGCAAATTTCTGTTTTACCTTACCGTGACTGCAAGAAATCTGTGTCAAGAGGTCTAGAAAAAACAGACTCCTCTGCCTGTTTTTACCATTGTTTAACACTCACACATACTGTATTCCATGCACTTTTTTTCTTTCAAGATCCTAACATCAAACTTCCACACACAAGTACTTTTTCATTTTCCAATTCTGAAATTCCTTTTGGTTACTTGCATTTAAATAGGCTTCATTATACATTTCATACTACATCAGTGACTACAGTATGAACCCCCTTTCGTACTGTTTGTTCAATTGGTTAGGTTTAGGTTTGTGCATCAGAATATCCTTGTTAAAGCACTTCTTGTGTGGAGGAGAGTCACGCTCCCCAAAAAGAAAATTATACCATATCATAAGACTGCCTTTATGTGTATGTCATTCTTATTCACAAATATCCCTGAGACAATGTGGACGCCCCTCGTACAGCTAAAACATACATAATATGGAGATTGCCAATAAAAATCAAAGCTGATTAATTAAATTGGACTAATCGTATGTGCCCTGTAACAAACTGGTGTCCCATCCAGGGTATGTCCCAACCTCATGCCCTGTGCTTCCGAGACGGGTTCTGAAATGCCCGAGACCTTTGGCAGGATTATGTGTTCTGATAACGGATGGGTGGATAACTGAATGCAAAGCAGGTATAAAAAAGCAGTTTTCACTTCGTAATAAGAACAACCATAAAATTTGCATATTTGGAAATAGTGACGAAGCTCTGAGCCTTGAGACATCCCTTTGGCTTCAATGAACCACATGATCTAATGATGAGTATTTATTTTAATTTGTATTCATATCTGAATTAGAAATGACTACACTGGCTAATTGAAACAGAACACTTTCTCTGCAATACTCATCTCACTGACTGTGGCTGTTATTTTCATATGAAGAACAGAAGGGATAAAAAAAACATGTTTTCAAGTACTGTACACACCAAAACCATCTGAGACTTTAAAGCTACCAGTGTTCATAGTAGTACAAGTGCATATGATGACAGTAAAAAAGGAACAATTACATCTCTCTGTATATGTATTACCATGTATGTGTCAACTATTATTAACAATTCTGTGTTGCAATGTGAAATATGCTCTATTACTTACATTAAAAAAATGCTTTTTTGTTTATGATTAAAAATACTTAATTAAATAATACTTGCAGTGAAAATGCCACCACAAAAATATTCAGTCCCAACACTGGCACCACCAACTGAAAGGTAATGTAATGGAAACATACTGTACAGTAATAACCTGTTACTGCACAGGTGCAATTAACAGATAACAGATTTGCTTTTAACTGAAATGCTTCAATATGTAAAAAGAAAAGGACATGTCCATTAAACCAGCATCCTCCCCCAAAACACTTTATTATATATTAGATGTACTGTATTCATTACTTGATGATTACTAGATGTTGAGTTTACATCATTGTTGAACATCACAGTCCACAAGTGGTTCTGTTTTTTGTTTGTGAAATTGATTGCTTGCTGGTTTTTATAGCCTATCCTTAAACAGGAGATGGCTGCATCAGATGAATATCTTAAGAGTACAGTATTGGTAAAAAGGGACAGGACCAAAGAAGAACCAGAACCGCACTTCTCCTTAGTAGAGCAGATTTCAATTTTACTTTCAAATACATAACTCAGGATATTCCTAATATGAAAAGACAAACATATTCTGTTGTTCATGTTCGACTGTCAAATGAACTTCACTTGAATTCATAAGTGACGCACAAGATCCCGCTAGAATTGAGTTATATAAGTGATTTAGTATTAGACGTTCTCAAAACGTCTGCACGGGATTTATGACAGTAAGCACAGCAATGCACACTTCACCCTTCTGAATATAAACATTCCGTTTACTGACCTGCCCCTTCGCCGTGTAATCAGCCAAGATATTCAAGAGCTTGTAGAACACTTCAAACCAGGGAAGATAGCTAGAAAGAAATGGATACAGGTTATTCTAATAGCATTTTTTTAAATGTATTAGCAAAAACACACAGGCACAATAACAATCCTGTTTTTTCCTCATTAAGAAAGCAGCAGGGAGATCAATGATATGCCCCTAAATTTAATATGTACACATTAGACTAGAACAGACTAAAAAAGGCGTAGTTCTTTGTGATAATAGGTGGCAGGGAAATCAGTGAAAGGAAGAGATGTTTAATTGTATCACAAGCAAGAAAGGAACAGTGCACTAAACAATCTGTTTACCCATCTGTGTTCAAGACAAACTGAGCTCCAATGACCATTTTCCCATTCAATCAAAGGCATGGACTTGAAAACCTAAATAATTAGATTATGTTTAATATAGATGCAGTACATATACTCCTCCATATCTGCAAAAATGCAATGCAGCTTCTGTAATATTCAATATGAAAAATGAGATAATCTATCCAGTTTTATATTCACATACACATATAAATATATCACATGGTCTGATGGTTCTATTTAGAGGACAGAATATCATGAATGTGAACATACACAATTAAACAGAGTAAGTGAAACTATAACAGTCAAGTAAACTGTAACAAAATAAATTGTTTAGTCATAAAGCAATGGTAGTTACCACAAAAATGAAAGAAGTATACGTTTTCTGTTCAGTTTCATTTAGCAGTTTATTCATTTTACATGCACAGAACTGAGACATATACAGTACATGAAAGTACAGAATGTGGTGTTGGGATCTAACAATTTCTACAAGAACAAACCAACAGCTTCAATAGTAAGTAATCTGTAGCACCACAAAAACAAGAGCAGAAATTTTAAAGCTTATGCGTCTCTGGTAGTATGCTTACAGGTATACTGTACAATTTTGTGCCGGGTCCATTACATAAGTTTCTTTCAGGCTTTGAAAATCTGGAAAACCACCAGCACTATCAATGTTTTCAGCACACGGCAGTGGAGCTACTGTATATGAATTATACAGAATAATGACTATTTTTTATGACTCAAGTCATAATGAGTTATGACTGTCTATGGAAAATAATAGTGTTCATCTTACATCTTATTCAACAGCTGGGAGAAATAAATATGCCGCCGTATACACATACTGTATATCAAAAAGCAAACCTGGAGGCTGAAGAGAAGAGTTAAACAGACTCTGGGATCAGTGATCAGCATCACCTATAAATTTTGCATGAGATGAAGCAAAACGCACAGTGACCAAGAGGTGAAAGTGACAAGCAGCTCCTGCCTGATCTCAAAATTAGCTGAGTTTTAGTGATTTAGCTGGGAAACAGAACTGGCCAAACCAGGTTTAAAAAGATGCCATGTGACAAAAAATAAACACCAAAAACGCAGAACACTAACGAAGAGGCAGAGCACAGGCAAATTCAATCACATACAGATCACACCGTACCCATGTTTTTCATTTCTGAGAACATTTGGGTTTTTTTTTTAGTACATCATATCCTGGGCATTTTTATGCAATAAAAAGCTTGTTTTGATTTACATGGCATGCAGTGTAATAAAAGTATATTATAAGAGTGGAATATATAACAGTAACATCATGTCTAACATTAAATTCTGTCACAGCCATTTACTGGCAAACTATACAGGAGTTTTCAACAAGGCATCTGAGCATATAAGACAAACTTTAAATTTGATGCAGCATGCTAAAGACATTCATACCTATTTCTCTTTTGTAAAAACTCTTGCCCAGTAAATCTGATCTGAAATTGCCTTTAGTAGATCTGTTGTCTTGCGGTAGTGTTTTCACCATTTTTAATTCATAAGATAATTATTTCTAATTGTTATGCACTTTGATTTCATTTTTAAGATTGGGACCCTTATGGAACAGGATTTCTTGAAAACCAGGTCCTTCAGCCAAATAAAGGGTTGAAAAAACACTGAACCGGAGCAAATGTGTTTCTTAAGACTAACACATTTTTCAGTAAACAGCACTGGCTGAAAAAGTGTTGCTTGATGTTAAACTGCAAAAAAAAAAAAAATCAATCTGCTTCAGATTGGAATATCACAGTTATCTCATTACTCAGAGAGGCTTATTTTGAAAGTGTTCAGAGCAATCGGAGAAAGCCTGCAATATTTACATTTAAAAAGGTTTGAAGTGGATGATTGCAGCTACCTCTTCCTAATTAAACGTCCCATGCATATGACAGCCTTATCATAGCTTCTCATTACCTATTGCAGGCCACCATACACAGCTCCTTCACAAACATGACTGGGAGTGAGGCAGCTTCTCTTTATGAGGTCTTCCCTTTGGCAAGAATATAAAAACAAAATAGATCACAACCCTACTGTAATTGTTCATTTGCTTTATCTAGTTAAGCAAAAATGACAGGAGTCACGTCTACACCGCCAAGACTGTTAAAAAATGCCTGGTGTCTTTCAAGATTTGAAAGGATTGGTAAACATTTGAAGTATTGGGATTATTGTATCTCCTCCTCGACACTCTGTAATATGCGAAGGATTTAAAGCTAACAACACTATCTAGACCAGCTACGTTTGGCTGCCTGCTCTATTTGTGCAGCTCGACCACAAAGGACCGTGCTTCTGTGAATGGACTTGCTGGAATCTTACAAAAACCACAGGGAATATGATGAAAACTCTGCAGTATCAGCAATGAATGCCAGCAGAACAAAAGAGCCAAATGAAAATATAAAAAGTTTCCGATAGTTGAATTATACAGTGTGAAGATGTTTCTTCGGAAGATGAATATATCTGCAAAACCAAGTTTTTTATTTAATTTGTACACTTAATTGACAAAATATTTCCTTTTCAGCTTTGTAGTTTTATTGTTATATCCCATGATTAAAATAGTGTATAAAGTGTTCCAAATAGCACTTCCACCAGAGTAATCTAACGTGTCTAAAACCATTTCACTTTTAAACATGTAATTTACACTGATATACTTTTACTCTGAAACCTACATAACATTCTCCAGTGAGGCAAGAACCAACCTAGCTCATTTTCACAATACAAAATTAAAAGAGAGTTGCCAATGATTAACTTAAACTATTTACTTTTTATTTCTTTAATCGTATTTAACCAACAAGAAATAAACTCCAGGTCTCAAGATATTGTTCACTTGTGCAAAAGTAGCAATAACAATGTTCACTGTAACATTTCAATTAAAAAAAAGAAGGCAATTTTTATTTGCTGTTAAACTTAGAGCTATTGGATGCAACTGGTTGCGTAAACGTGCAAGATACAGTATACATGCTTGATGATGCAGCTGAAAATGGAGCTATAATATTACTACAGTACATTACCACAGGAGACTACAATAAAATGCTGGAGTCTGAAAGGAGTCAATAAAGCATGCTCAACTACCAGCACAGCAGGAATAAAAAAACTTCTCGGTATTATAGTAAGGAATGGGAAAGGAAACAACGAAAATCAAACTGTCATCATGAAATGGAGCACAAATTGTTGTTGTGTGGCTTCAACGTGGGATGCACTCAAACAGTCCCCTGACATACAAGAGCTTATTGGAGCCTCCATGTGTACTGTTGAGACTGGAAACAAGGATGGTTCATGCTGTTTTCTCAGTTTACTGACGTTCTCCTGCTGTTTCCTTACTGGGGTTGTCTAATGTCTATATATACCTCCCTAGAGAGCTATTCCCTACCTTTCTAGGACAGACTGACTGCTGTCCAGTGATAGTTGTGCTCAGGTCTCTGAAACCAAAGGCCGGCTATATCTCTCTTCAAAGGCTGCCAATTCCCCTGTTGGGAGACCAGCAATCACAGCTGAACCTTATCTTGTTACAAAGCTAAGAGGACTTCCGTTTGTTTCTTTTACTGTCCACATAGACAACAACAGCTTCAGAAGCATTCAAAAACACTAGAGCCAGATTCCACCTTAACTCTGTCATTCACCAGCACTCAGATGGCAGACAGAAGAAACACTACTAGTCTCATTTAAAACACTAGGGGGAATGGCATGTTATTTAAGTGTACTTGGATATCATTTCAGTGGGTAAGAGAGAGCCAAGCTATTTGCACAGGAACCATTTCAGGCTAATGCTACTCTTAACCCAAAGCTGTGGACTGCTTCAGAGTATTCTAATATTATAGAGATGCGGTAAAGACATTTTCTTTCAAACCCGTAAGTATAAAGACAAAATTAAAAAAAAATATATATCTATTTTTGTTACATAGTAAAAAATAACAGAATAGAAAAATGCCTTCGGTATTATAGGATTCTGCTCAAAATTCAAGATAATAAACCAAATGGCATAATTGCCTGAGTATACATTTTCTGAGCACATGATTCTCCAGGTTTTTTTTCCCCAGGTTTTCTTTTTCAGCTAGGTGAGGACTTACAAGATATTTACAAGACACAAGATAATTCTTAAACCCTAAGACTGGTATAACTCTTACTGAAAATGTTATTGAATCTCCCAAGCGAGATCATTTGACCTCACCTCCAGAGCAGTTATAATTCTGAATTGGGTCAGTTTTCTTACAATTGTTTGAGTATTGGTGCAATAGCTATCGGGCTTCTACGTGTGGGCCCCAGACAAACCACTACTTGACTTGTGTCTAATCTGCTTTGTCCTTCGTGTTCATGCTCTTTCAATTTGGGAGATGACAGATTCAATTTGAGTCACGACAAATGAGAGAATCTGAAATGATCAGAGCACATCTAAGAATTTTTTGAGACCCGCAATTATGTTGATTGAGTTTTGTGCTGAGTCATACGAGAAGATAGTCTATCGTGCACTCAATTTTGTGGCGGATTAGAAAAGTACAACGGGTAGCCACAATCAATTTAATATGGCAGTCAAAGAGCTGGTCAGGGCTTTCTAAAACTGCCTACCTATCCATTATAGAACCATTGTTTACAGAGGTCAATCATGTTATTATGAGTGTTTATGTGCATTACAAGTGAGTGCAAATGTTTAGCACTGCTGCCTTACACTGGGCTCTGGGTACAATTACAGACCTGGGGTGCTATCAGCATGGAGGTT